TTTGAGGATCTGTCTTCTGCTGGCTTTATCTAAGATGTTTTGTTTGATTTTCACTGCATTTGGCAGTCCTTCCTCATTTATGGTGGTGGCTGAGGGTATAGAGGTCTTTTAATTTCTTTGAAAAGAACTTTTACATTTCTCTTTTCATTCTTCTTTTTTTAGAGTGCCTACTGAGAGAAGAGATCAGATATATCTTTATTCAATTATCTTAAAGCCTGAAGGTCTATATTTTCTAGTTAAGAACACTTTCATTGTTTCATCATAAAGTATGATGTTTGGCATAATCATTAGTAGTTATCCTTATCAGGGTAAAGAAATTTCTGTTTCTTGCTTTCTAAAACCGTCTATCTGTTTATCATTTTTAAAACTAGGACTGTGTGCTAAATTTCTGGCATCTAGGAAAATTCGCTTTTTTTTTCTTTAATCTTCTAACATAGTAAATTACATTAGTACATTTTCTAATATTGACTCATCCTTGCTTTCCTTCTTTCTTAAGATTCTTTTATTGACTGATTTTTCTCCTAGTTATGTCACATTTTTTGTTTCTTTATGTGTTTCCAGTAATTACTTATTAGATACTGGACATTGTGAATGTTATGCTGTTGAATGCCTGGATTTTGTCTTCTAAGTGTTAAATTTTGTTTTATTTTGCAGTTAAGTTAATTGTGGATCAGTCTGATCCTTTTCAAACTTCTTTCTTTCTGAGTTTCATACTCTAGGCCTGAACTTGACAAAACTCAGAAACAAGACTTTGCCATTAAAGTATGACCCTATTGGGGACTGTAATGAAGTCCTGGATGTCTTGGTGTCTGTGGAAGTGCTCTTTACTTAGACTACTTGGAACATGAATCTCTCCCAGCATTGCGATAGCTCTGGAATTGTTGAGCTTCCAGTTCCGACAACCTTCAGCAACAGAATCACGGGGACTGCCCCTGGATTTTTGGAGTTCTCTTTCTGTGTAGCTTCCTTCTCTCTGATACTCGGTTCTGCTAATTCCAACCACTTCACATTTACCAAACTCAATTCTAATTCCTCAGCTCAGCAAGACTGCTGGATTCTGCTTGACCTCCCTTTTCCTGTGCACAGTTTGAAAGTGCCTCTCCTTTTTCACTTTTGATACTATTTTTGTTTTATTTTGTCAATAGATTTGGCAGAACTTTATCTAATTCTTACTGTTTTAATTCCTTTCAACTTTTTTTTAATGTTTACTTTTTCCCTTTCGCTATCTTCTTGATTTAATTGCCTCTTTAATATATGTTTAGTTTTGTTTTTGGTGTATGGCACTGGCCTACCCTTGCTCTTGCTTTTAAACTTTTGGCTTGCACTTAATTTCTCTAGGTGCTCTTCTGGGACAAATGGCTCACAACGGTTGTATAGTCATGTCTTGTATCTCTTTTGGGTTGCAGGTTTTAGTCCTCTAGTTTTAATCTTGATTCAAATGTTACCTGAGTACAAGTTTAGCATTGAGATAAAGGCTACCTTAATCACCAATTCACCAAATCACCTACCTCTCCACAGAAATTAATCACTGCTGTCAGTTTGTTGTGTACTTTTCAACCTTTTTCTACGCTTTATTTACAACTTATATAATTCTTAGAACTTTAAACAGTGTTGTGTGTGTGTGTGTGTATATATTTTGGTAATAAATGGTATTTTACTACTGTATTTATTCTTAACCCGCTCTTCTCATTCAGCAATATTTGTAGGAGGTCTGTCCATGTCAGTTCATGTAGATCTATAATAGAGAATGTTACAAATAATTTCACAGTATTCCATAGTATGTGTATACCGTAGTTTATTTAATGATCAACTTACTAAAAAAATTTAGGTATTTCCAGGAACTTTTAATTTTTTTGGCTCCTGTAAGCAGTGCTATTCTAAGACATTTTTGTGCATTCTCTCGTGTTCCTTCGTGAATATTACTTTATAAGAAATAGAATTCAGTGGGCCTTAGAGATGTGTATTTTTGTGGATTTTGCCCATTTACCCTTGAGAATGTCAATACTAATATACATTCCTTCCATCAGTACCAATTTTCCGTATCTTTGGTCTACTTTTATTACCGTTTTTATCATAATGATACGTGAGCCAAAATAACTCATTTTCTATTTGGTTTCTGTCTTCCTAAAGTTCTCAAAAATTCTTGATCCACTGTTAGCATCTTTCTGTGCTGTGATGAATATTTTTCAATGTGTATCTTTTTTTCTTTTTTCTGTATATATCTTTGCTATCATCTTAATTTAACTTTAGAAGAAAGAGGAAGTGAACATATGTCTTCAGCCTACTATCCTGAACTGTCATGGATGCTGGATTATTGGCTGTGAGGGCTACGAACTTGCTCTTGCATGCCAGTCTCCACATTCCCACAATTCAAGTTTGTGTCTCAACATAAATCTCTGTGTCATGGACCTTTGGGTCCAACCTTTAAATGCTTGAAATGGCAATTATAAACTCTGTGATTTTGCTATACTTTGTACTGAATGCTGATTAAACAATGTAACCTTTTCTGAAAAAAAATCATTATTAAGTGAGGGAATCTGTTACATGAATAAAAGTGTAATGATTTTTGAAATTTTTATCTTTAGGTTTTAGAGTATTTAAATGATCTGAAACAGTATTGGAAAAGAGGATATGGATATACTATTAATAGTCGATCCAGCTGCACCTTGTTTCAGGATATCTTTCAGCACTTGGACAAAGCAATTGAACAGAAAAAAAGGTAAAAACTTAAAAAAATATTTTTTAGTGTATATTCTAAGTGCCTAGTTAAGCTTCTGAAAAATGCTTTATAAAGGGCGATTTAAAAAAATAGTTTTGCTTGTGTTTTTAAAAAATGATTATATTTACAAAAGAATTAGATGACATATGTTATAAAGCATATAAACCCTCCATTCAACCCAAGGAAAACCCAAGTGATTCCATTTTCCTGCCTTCCCTTGCCCCCTTTACTCTCTATCCCCGGTAACTACTATCCTGAATTTGGTGTGTATTATTCCTTTGCCTCTATAAAATAGTTTTTATTATGAATGTATGTGTGCCCTAACAATATAATTAGTTTTGCTTAGAGAGATATGCTGGGCCTTGCTTTTTTTCCTTTTCAACATTACATTTATAATATTCATCACATTGTTGCATATACTGTAGTTCATTCATTTTACTATAGTACAATTTCAGTAATGCTCAATTTTCAGTAAATAAATACCATTATATGTATCATCTCCTCTTGTCAGTGGACAGTTGGATAGTTTCTGGTTTTTGCTGTTATAAATAGTGTGATTGTACATGGTTTCTGGTATGAATTTTTTTGTAAGTTTTTATTTTAAATGAGTTTCTTATCAAAAAGCCTTTGTTAACATTCATACATTTCAAAGTTAAAAAAAAAAACAAAACCTTTTCCTAATTTGAACCTTTGATAGAATCTGAACCCTATTTTATTTGACAAATATGCTTCCATGGAAGCATATACATTCACAATTGGAGATGAAAATTACGCTGTAAAGATTGAGACAAAGGCTGAATATGGTGTATTTGTGTTTGCAGTATTGAGTTTTATATACATATAGATAAGAAAGAGAAATTATGTGTACTTGTGGATATGACTTTAGTTTATGGGATTTTCTTGGGTTTGATGGGAGTTAGGGGAGAAAACCAGATTGAGTATAGATGGTCCCTGATTTAGGATAGTTTGACTTAACAATTTTTTGACCTTATGATGGTGCAAAAGTGATACACGTTCAGTAGGAATTGTACTTGAATTTTGATCTTTTCCTTGCCTCGCTGTGTGTGGTATGATAGTCGTTCATGATGCTGGGCAGCGGCAGTCAGCTGTGGCTCCCAGTCAGCCACACCATCACGAGCAAAAAACTACTGATACATTTAAAACCATTCTGTACCTATACAGCTATTCTGTTCTTCACTTTTAGTACAGTATTCAATAAATGATGTGAGATGTTCAGCACTTTATTATAAAGTAGGCTTTGTGTTAAATGATTTTGCCCAACTGTAGACTAATGTAAGTATTCTGAGCACATTTAAGGTAGGCTAAGCTAAGCAATGGTGTTTGGTAGGTTTTTGAGTTACTGATATTTTGAGTTTAATAATAGGCTTATTGAGATGTAATCCCATTGTAAGTGGAGGAAGATCTATATTTGGTTTCTGCTACCAAACACTTTTGTGGGACAGAATAGTCAAGACAAGTTCCCTCTTTGACATAGGCATTAACTTTTTTCCTACTTAGTTTTCTGAATGGTTTAAAATCCTTAGACTTTATGAGATAACAGACCTTTACTGTTTGTTCATTGTTTGTCCCATTTGAATGTGAGGTATGGCAAACTTAAAAATGTGTCTGAAAGATTCTTAAATAACTTTTGGAAAAATTGCTGTTATAATTTGATACCAGATTTAAAGTTTAAATAAGAAGTTTATCATTGATGTTTTAAAATAAGTATTTCTGTACACTGAAAACTATAAAACATTACAGAGAGAAATTAAAAATGACTCAATAAATGCAAAGATATACTGTCTCTGTGAATTAGAAGACTCAGATTGATCATCTGTAGGCTGAGTGTAATCCCTGTCATAACCCCAGTAGGTCTCTTTGTAGAAACTGAGAAGCTTATTTGACTGCAAATGGGTACAAGGGAAATTTTTAGGGTGATTGTGGAGATTGCACACACAGCTGTTACATTTACTGACATTCGTTTAACTTAACAACTAAAACAGGTGAATTTTATGATTGTTACATTATACTTCAGGAAAACTTTTTAAACACTATTGGTATCTAATAAAAGGAAAAGGTGGAGAAAGAAAAGAATGAAATACTTTTTTTTTGTAGAAGTGGAAATAATTTTTAAAGAATTTATTAATTCAGAAAAATGGCATTCTTCCTTAGAGTTTTTTACAAGATGACCACAAAATGCTTAACATGTAATTGTTAAATGTGTTTTTAAATTACTAGCTCACTTCTCTGCCTTAATAAAATATACTAGAAAATAATCAATTTTTTAATAATGCAGGCTTTTGCAGTCTTGTATAGTGATTTGTTTAAATAGCCTTTATTTACTTTTAGATTCACAGTGAAATTGAACAGAAGGTAAGGAGATTTCTCATCTGCTTCCTCCAGCAACATGTGCATAGCCTTCCCCACTATTAAAATCCCATACCAGTTATTTTTTAAAACAGTTTTGAGAAATAGTTCATATACCATGTAGTTCACCCATTTAAAGTGTATAGTTAAGTGGTTTTTAATATATTCACAGAGTTGTGCAACCATTATCCCTGTTTAATTTTAGAACATTTTCATTACTCCAAAAAAAAGAAACTCCATTATACACCACATTAACAAAAGGTAGGATAAAAATCACATGATCATCTCAGTAGGTGCAGAAAAAGCATTTGACAGAATTCAGCGTCCATTCATGATAAAAAAACTCTCATCAAAGTTGGTATTGAGGGAACATTTCTCAACATAATAAAGGCCATTTATGACAAATCCACAGCTAACATCATACTTAGCAGTGAAAGCCTTTCTTCTAATTTAAGGAACAAGGCAGGAATGCCATTCTTGCCACTTCTATTTAACATAGTATTGGAAGTTCTAGCCTCAGCAGTTAAACAAGAAAAAGAAATAAAAGACATCCAAACTGGAGAGGAAGAAGTAAAACTATACTATTTGCAGAAGACATGATACTACATATAGAACACCCTAAAGTGTCCACAAAAAACTAGTAGAAGTAATGCATGAATTCAGTAAAGTTGCAAAATACAAGATACAAGGATACAGAAATCTGTTGCTTTTCTGTACACTAATATTGAACTATTAGAAAATAAAAAGAAACCCCGTTTAAAAATCACATCAAAAAGAATAAAATGACTAGGAATAAACTTAACCAAGGAAGTGAAATACCTATACAATGAAAACTATAAAACACTGATGAGGGAAACTGAAGACCGTACAAAGAAATGGAAAGATATCCTGTGGTCTTGGATTGGAAAAATGAATCATTGAAATATTACCCAAAGCAATCTGTGGATTTAGTAGTATCTCTGTCAAAATACCCGTGACATTTTTCACAGAACTAGAACAAATTATCCTAAAATTTGTATGGAACCACAAAAGACCCTGAATTGTCAAAGCAACCTTAAGGAAAAAGAGGCATAACCCTCCCAACCTTCAGACAGTATTGCAAACAGTAATCAAAACAACATGGTACTGGCACAGAAACAGACATGTAGATCAATGGAACAGAATAGAGAGCCCAGAAATAAGCCCACACATCTGTAGTCAATTAATCTACAACAAAGGAGGCAAGAATATAAGTGGAGAAAATACAGTCTCTTCAGGAAGTGGTGCTAGGAACACTGGACAGCTACATGTAAAACTCCTAGAAAAAAAAAGTGAGATTAGAACATTTGCTCACATCATATACAAAAATAAACTCGAAATGGGTTATAGACCTAAATGTAAGACCTGAAACCATAAAACTCCTTGAAGAGAACATAGGCAGAACATGCTTTGACATAAATCATAGTAATATTTTTTCTGAACCTGTCTCCTAAAGCAAAAGAAATAAAAGCAAAAGTAAACGAATGGGACCTGATTAAATTTAAAAGCTTTTGCTTTTAAAAGGAAACCATTGACAAAATGAAAAGAGAACCTGCTAAATGGGAGGAAATATTTGCAAGTGAAATGACCAACAAAGTTAATATCCAAAATTTATAAACAGCTTTTACAACTCAATACCAAAAAAAAAAAAAATCAAAAAATGAACAGAAGACTCCAATAGACATCTCTCCAAAGAAGACATGCAGATGGCTAACAGGTACATAAAAGATGCTCGACATCACTAATTATTAGAGAAATGCAAGTAAAAACGAGATAGCACTTCACACCTGCCAGGCGAGGATGTACAGAAAAGTGAACTCTTGTATGCTGTTGGTGGGAATGTAAATTAGTAAAGCTACTGTGAAAAACAGTATGGGGATTCCCCCCCCAAAATAAAAATAGAACTACCAGATGACCCAGCAATTCCACTCCTGGGTATGTATCTGGGAAAAATGATAACACTAATTTGCAAAGGTGTGTGCACCCCAGCCCAGCATTCATAGCAGCACTATTTACAATAGCCAAGACATAGAAGCAACCCAGATATTCATCAACAGATGAATTGATAAGGAAGATGTGGCATATATATACAATGGAATATTACTCAGCTGTAAAAAAAAGAATGAAATTTTGCAATTTGCAACATGGATGGACCTGGAGAGTATTATGCTTAGTAAAATAAATTGGACAGAGAAAGATAAATATTGCATTATATCACTTATATGTGAAATCTAAAGAAACGAATATATATAGCAAAACGTAAACAGACTTGAGGATATAGAAAATGTGTGGTTCTTTGTGACTGGCTTCTTTGACTTAGCATAGTGTTTTCAAGGTTGATCCATGTTATAGCATGTGTCAGTATTCTTTTTTATGGCTGAATTATGTTCTGTTATGTTGACTATACTGTATTTTGTTTATCCGTTCATTAGTTTATGGACATTTAGGTATATCCACTTTGGGGTTGTTATGAGTAATGCTACTGTGAACATTTGCATTCATATTTTTGTGTGGACATATTTTTATTTTGCTTGGGTATATGCCTAGGAATGGAATTTATAGGAGAGTCATTAACTTTGACAATCAGGAATTGCTAAAGAATATTAAAACTGTAG